AGATTTAATGACGTCAAACATTAAAAAAATATGTCTTGCCGTGCAAGTAACTCAATGGTATTGTCTGGAAATTACCATCTCAACAAAACACAGTATATTGTCTTTTTTTATTTATTTAAACAGTTCCATTCAGACATTCCTGGCACAGAGTAATGAACGCACGTTTAAGCCATATCTTAGGTTTAAATTGTGCTTGTACATAGCCACTTATGGACATAGTTACTAACGAATTCACAGACACTTATGTAAATATAAACGATTATTATTACTATTTTTTATTAATATTATAGAAAGGAAGAAGAAAGAAGGATATATTTTTATTAAAGTAAATTTAGATTTAAACATTTTTTAATAGTATTTTTTTCACTACCGCACATTCGGTACGCAATTTCAGCCAAGAAGAACGGGCAAGAAACTGCTGTTGCTTTTTTAATGAATTTGTATGAATTCAAACTACTAATCTCACTCACATATAAATGTGAAAGTGAGTTTGTTTGTTTGCTACTTCATAGTGCCTTAACGGTTTAAACAATCGCTATGAAATTTGGTATACACGTACACTATATGGGACGGAGAAGACAACTTTGAACAACTTTTTATTCCAGTCAGCTAACATATACCTGTCACCCGGACAAAGCCGCGGGTAAAAGCTAGTAATTATTTACTACTTAAATTTATAAACGAAATCGCGTAACATAGTCGCAAAAAATTCAGACTAATTGAAGGCCTTCTTTTTAAAGTCCCTTAAAAATAACTTTTTCCCTTTAAAACAAATCACTTTTACTCAACTTACACGTGCTTACAGTTCTTTTGTTACGTAATTTTAGATACAATATAAACAGTGGGGTGAAAAAAGATTTACTACAGTAAAGGGGTAGATAAAACAGGTGTCCAAATAAGCACGTAGGTTGTAATTTTAACTTTAAGACTTTCTGACTAGATGTTTTATCTATACTAACATTATAAAAAGGTAAAGTTTGTGAGGCTGGATGTTCGGGGTAATCTCCGGTACTAAGATCCTATTTTGAAAATTCTTTCACTTATTAAAAAGGTATATTATTCCTGATTGCTATAGGCTACTTTTTCTTTTAGTAAATATATATTTTTAATAATAAATTGCAATAAATGTAATTGAAGTCGGCAAAAATTCTATATTGAAATATAGGAATAAAGATATTCATTACTTTTAGATTTACAAAAAAAATTGGCGACACCATACATCGAAGTTTAATATTTCATACAAAAACATGGTTTTTATGTTAAAGTTAAGATAAATTTTACAAAATATGAATTACTTTTAGATTTACAAAAAAGTTGTTTTTTTTTTTTTGTAAATCTAAAAGTAGTGTGTCTAAAAGTAAGTCTAAAAGTAAAGTGTTCAGACAAAAACATGGTTTTTATGTTAAAAGTAAAATAAATTTTGCAAGACGTTCTATTTATAATGTTAGAAAATATGCCTGCAACCTGTTAACAATCACCAACATCAACTGTTGTCCCCAAATTGAAAGACGTTTTCACTGTTGTGTTCCTGAAGGCCTAACTTAACAACTGGTGCATTTTTTATTTCGTTATGTCATTTTAAGTAGTGGTTTATTTCTGTAATCCGCGCATATGAAGTAGGCAAAGAGCTAGTGTTAAATAAAACAAAATACTATATAATTAGGTACTATAATGTTTAATTATATATATATATAATAAAAATCAACAATACATGATGTCACCAAAGGGAGACTTTGTGCAAAAGTCGTTTTCTTGGGTACCTCTGTCCCATTCGTGTTTCAACCGTGAAGCAGTTGTGTTTGCATGGCTGTGTTTCGGTTTGAAGGGTGGAATATGGCGTGAATTTACAGGGTACAAAGGAGTAACACCTGAGTCATCAGGAATGGCAACGCATGGGGGGTATCATGGGCAAAACAGTATACTCTGTTATGTCCATGGTACTGCTCATGTCTATAGGCGACGGTTACCACTTTCCATCAGGTGGGCCGTCAGCTTGTTTGCTATTCTAAGTTGTATAAAAAAAGTCGAATAACATCAACCGTAGTGTTTATTACTCCCAGCAATAAAAATTATTAGTATAAAAATATTTTATAGGGTAGATAATTTATTAACTCAAGAACGATATAATTATTGTCTATTTTATAGCAAATTTAGAATTATTTCTTAGCTCAACATATAAGACTAGCGATCCGGTCCAGCTTCACACAGGTAAATATTTTTTTTTTAAATGATATAAAGCTTATTTTACTAGTCAATAATGTCACTTCCTATAGGTGAAAGAATTTTTAAAGTCGGTTGCGTACTTTAAGTTTATACATTACAAACAAACAAACAACCCTTTTCGCTTTATAACTTAGGTAACGTTTATTATAAAAATGTCAAACGTCGCAAAGTGTTTTGTTTTTTCTTTTGCGCCACATTCTAAATTTGAATAAAATTTACAAAAGACTGGAATAGACAAAATAGATTTATTTATGACTTAAGTTTTTAGAAATAAGAAGACCAGTATAGACCCTATTAATATGAAAAATGTGAAAGTTTGTAACGATGGATGGGTTTTTGTTTATCTTTAATGCAAAAACTATTGAACGGATTTTAATGAAATTTAGTATATAGGTAGGTTATATCCTAACTTAGCACATGGAATACTTTATATACTTATTCACGCAGGGGAATCCGCGGGTTACAGCTAGTATAAAATAATTTATACATTTTATTATTATAATTATTTACTTTTTTTTATACAACTTAGAATGGCAAACAAGCTGACGGCCCACCTGATGGAAAGTGGTAACCGTCGCCTATAGACATGAGCAGTACCATGGACATAACAGAGTATACTGTTTCGCCCATGATACCCCCCATACGTTGCCATTCCTGAGGACTCAGGTGTTATTCCTCTGTACCCAGTAAATTCACGCCATATCTCACCCTTCAAACCGAAACACAGCCATGCAAACACAACTGCTTCACGGTTGAAATACGAATGGGACAGAGGTACCCAAGCAATCGACTTTTGTACAAAGTCTCCCTCTGGTAAATTACTAATGCGTAACAGTGCATTAATAGTTTAATTGTAAGTTGTACTAGATATGATTCAAATTGGATAGTGCAATAACCCTATTCTATTTATTGAGAAGATATCTGTCTAATTCCCGGACAAAATATTTAATAGGTACATATTGACATTGCTTTGAGCAAAAGAGTTCATAGAACGCCATTGAAAATTATTTATTCCTATATTCTTCTTGAATAAACAATTTTTTTATTAAAATAAATTAATGCTAAAATATATTAACTTCAAATTAAATGTATGTATATGAACATTTTATTGAAAATGACAAAAATTTTTTTTAAATAACAAATCAATTCTAATGCTAATAAAAAATTGAGTACCTTTGTCCCACTCGTTTAAATGTTAACGCATGAGGGGTACCATAGACATTGCATTCTGTGATGTTCACGGCGCTGTTTATATTTATAGGCCATAGTTATCCTGTTACAAGGTGGACTGACAGCTTGTTTTGCGATTCTAGGTATAAAAAAATGTAATTATTTTGTATCAGCATTTCAGCTATTAACTGTCCACTGCTCAACATAAGCCATTCCCATAAGGGGAGTTTCGCCAGTAGTTGCCACGCTTGGCAGGCGAGTTGGAAACCGCAGTTAGGCTTTTAGAGATATTTTAAGAGGGACGCTGCTGCCCATCCTTCTACCATTAAGTCGCCTCTTTTAAAATCTATAGGAAAGGAAAAGGTGGCCTATTCTATGCCAGGACCACACGGACACTTTTACACAATTATTCTGTATATAATTAATTTAGACCATAATGGTAGGAGTTTATAGAAAATATTTAGTTGTCTAACTTGAAATATGTATCGAAGCTATACAAATCTGCGAATAGAACCAAGGTGACACACCTAAGTCCCATATAAAGTAGCGGCTCTCAATAGCCGGTAGCTGGCTGCAAACTGTATGTAAGCAATGAAGGGCGTATGAATAAGACCGTATGGGGAATCAGTCTCGCCTCGCGCACTCTTTCAAAATTCCGTTGTCGATTTTTTTAACGAACCCAAAGATCTCTAATAGGCCACACTGGATTCATTTCACGCACTCATTTTATTTAATAAAATGTAGTGCGTGAAATGATTTTTATGGCAGAATTTTCATGTAACATATCCTGCTTTACCATATATTTTAATTATAACAATAAACGTTTATTTGTAAGCTCCTGTTGCGTATAAAATCTAATAGATAAAAACAGAAAAATAATACTTCAACTGTGACAAAACCAGTGATAAAATTACTATGGGACCAATCTGTAAGTTACGAAGTTACGTACCTCGTAACTTCGTAACAAATATAAAAAAAAAAATTAATTAAGAACCTCCTTTTTTGGAAAACGGTTAGCAATGTAATTTTACACCATCATCATACAACAATTCTCCATCCATCTTTATCAAAGATAATAAAAAAAGTGAAACAAGAAAATAGAGCCTATTCGTCGTGTATGGTCAAAGGCAGGTCTTGTCAAAAAAGCCCGCGAAATTTAATTAGTATTCTCACCATCGATCACTAATGACTGGATTCATAATCACCTGATAATTCTAAGCAAATAATGTCCCAAAGTTGACCAACTGTGACAAGGACAAACATATTTGGATGACAATGTTAAACAAAAAACGCGATAAGCAAAAGAACATTTAGGTACTGTTTTATTAAGGACTAGTAACCCGCCCCGGCTTCATATGGATAGATAGCTAAATTCAGAATTTTTTTGAAAATCAAATAAAGCCCATAATACTCGACAATATAGCTTATAATGTAGCTTTCATTAGATAAAAGAATATTTAAAGTAGGTCAAGAATTTTTTTCATTACAGACAAAAATAAATTTTTTCCTCTTTATAATATTAGTTTAGATAATATTTTAAAAGCTGATTGTGAATCTAGTTATTACTGATCTAAGATGTCCGTTAATACTTGCAGAGAAAAACTCACCCGGCGAAGTGATCTTGTTGGGGCGCTCTTCAGTCTTACTATCGTCTTGGAAGCGAACAGTCATTGGTTTCTTCTTAATCCGCATCTTCTCGTCCTCCGGGGAGAGAATTGAGACGCGCTTCTTGGGGCGGTCGTCTTCTGGCTCACGTTTGAGCTCCGCTGATGAGGACGTGGCGGAGGCCGCCGCTGCCGCGGCCGCTGCGGCTGCCGCTGTATGTAGAACAATAGTTTTAGAACTACTGGACTCTAAGTACTAAAACTTTCTATAACTCTAAGTCTTAGAAGGCATTTGATGCACCTTGGAACCTGACGTTCCGACTGATAGAAAGGGCCCATCATCGTATTTAGACATGAACAGCACCATGAACGCTGCAGGATACATTGTATCGTGAGATATTATTTGAAACATGACTATACGAACATAGCGATTTGGTGGCAGTAATATTTTGTAGACGACTTTTGGACAGACTACTTTTTTTAATTTTTATTTTTATACAATTTAGAATGGCAAACAAGCTGACGGCCCACCTGATGGAAAGTGGTAACCGTCGCTTATAGACATGAGCAGTACCATGAACATAACAGAGTATACTGTTTCGCCCATGATATCCCCATGCGTTGCCATTTCTGAGGACTCGTGTGTTATTCCTCTGTACCCAGTAAACGCCATATCCTAGCCTTCAAACTGAAACACAGCCATGCAAATACAATTGCTTCACGATTGAAACACGAATGGGACAGAGGTACCCAAGCAATCGATTTTTCTACAAAGTCTCCCTCTGGTATTCATTTAGAAGTATTATAAAATTATCACGTCTAAAATTAAGTATATGTTTACAGTTGTAATAATAACAAATATGCATTTTTATGAACACTGTTAAAGGAAGAAGACGTATAAAACTGACTTTTGTGGTTTATATCGACTATCAAATTTAGTCAATAAACTGGAGATTCTTTAGATACTGTGCGCTGTGTTTGAAGGATGATATAAAGCAGATAATTTACTGGAAATTGGATATCCCAGTATCTTCATGTCGCAAGAGTAGGAAACTCTCGGTCTTCGAGTATACTTCTAATATTGAAAGGGTTCTAAGTTTCTGCGGTTGTTACCATCTGGTATGCCTTTTTTTTAATGGATGATAATGAAATGGTAATCCTGCCCGCGCTATCGGTATACACTGGCAGGGCACCAGTGAGAGACGACTAGTGAGGATAAAAGACAGGTCAGTTAGCCCATCGTGACAAATACACTAGAATTAACCACGATGGTTTCCAGGGTAAACCACATGGAGGTTAACCTGTTAGAGTATATTACTAGCAATGGGACAATAAACCGCCATTACTAACAGTCCCTTTTCCCCCATCTGGTATGCTGCATGCTTGATAAGTATCCTAGTTACAAAGAGGACCCAGATAATCTCACCTTGTTCGTGCTCAGTTTGGATGCTGGCGACAACTCTTTCCCCCCCACGGGCCGCGTGCCTCGCCTCCTCCATCTCCCTTGCAGCGGCCGCTAATATGTTATTAACAGCCGTGTGCGTGCCCGGCGTGTCATCGCGGCGACGTCTTCGTATCTCTTCAGCACGCATCATTGATTGTTGATACATATGAATCTGGGGAACATAGTTCAATTGTAGATTTTTGAATGAATGTGAATCGACCTGACCCGGGATTTAGATGAAATTTTTTTTCGGATCCACCTGGGGAACTAGATTGTTATTTCGGGTGAACGGAGAAAAGAGAATTTTGGGGCCTTATGTTTTAACCGACTTCAAAAAGAAGGAAGTTCCCAATTCATTTTTTTTCTTTTTATTGTCACCTCATAACTACGTCATAGTTAAACCGATTTGGAAAAATATTGTTTGGATCTGTATACTTACAGATTGGTCCCATAAAAAAATTAACAAAATATGTTCATTAGTTTATTTATTAAATTAAAATAACTCGCTTTGTCATAATTGAAGTAAATTGTTATTGTGAAACACAATTAAATTTATTAAACATATTGTGTTTATGATTAATATGGCAAGGTAATAAGCTTAAATATATTTTTTGGACAATTATAATATCCAGAAAATTGCCTATAACGAACAACTATTTGACATTCGATTTGTTAATATAAACATAGGATAATAATCGATAATTTTACTGATACTCTATTCGTATTTATTTAAATTTCATTCGTTTATTTTGTTTGTTTATACAAAATTATTTAGATGCTCTATTCGCAATAATCACTCTCATAAACGAAACATTACTTCATTGAAATTGACAAGAAATGCAACTGTAATAATGTATGTAACTACATCATGAGATGGATATATTTTTTTGTATGTTTTAATGTTTCATTGCTTAAAATACGTATTTAGCTATACTGATTGTTATATATGCGACGTAATGGATTTGTATTTTTTGTATTATTTGTGTTATTCTATAACTTTTTTTTTACTTCTCAATTCTGCATATATTATAACAAAAACTCTTTACAATCCAATTAAATACTTCGTCCCTATAATTTCAATATATCCGTTTATACTATATTTTCCGATATAAAAAAAAAAATACGACAAAAACGTATCACATTACAAATAATATAAATAGATAATGTACCCCTTTTATCAGATAACGTGATATTGAATTCAATATTGTATAACCGTTCGATTCTGGTGTTTTCGAATTTTAATCATTTTATAACTGAATAATATATTTTTACATAACATCGTACAAGATATCGCGATAATATTTAAATATGTGTGTACGTACGTCATTAAGTCATGAAAAATAACATTATCGTATAATAATTTTATTTTTAATTTTTATAGTCAAAGTTATCTCATTTCAATATTTATCTTGTAATTTAGTTATGTTTAATATATACATATAATGGGAGATAATATTTGCATACCTGCGGTGGACATATTATTATTAAAAAATAAATAATCTGCTCGACATTGGTCTGACGAAATATTTATAAGAGAAATAAAAAAAAAAAATTAAGCACACACAGTATTTAAGAAAATAAGATTTGTGTATGGACTATTTTAGATAAAATAATACTAACAATGAATAACCCTATGGTAGGCTGGCTGAAGACTGTTAAGTATATAAATAAACAAATACATAGAACGGAATACATAGAACGTACAGAACGGAACATTGAGAGGGAGCGCAAGAACATTAACGGTCTTAGCACAAAAACAAAATTAAAAGCTAGTCTATCTGTAAGTTTAACAAAACTCCATTATTTAGTCATTTGTTATTCTACGTGTCAAAAATCCATAAATTATCATAATACAGTATATTACTTTACATACTTTTTATTTTTAATAATACTTTTTTGTTACATTAAAAAAAAAACTTTGTGGTGCGATGGTAACTGTTGTAGTTACAAGAAAGCGTTCCTAAAACACTGCAACACAATTTATGCCAGTCGATCTTATTTCTTATAGGGATTAAAAGACCAGACCGACTGAATTTCAAGTATTCCGAATGTCAGAATACGTACAACATATTTTTACATAGTAACTATAATATTCAAACTTCTAGGAAGTCGAAGTACATTCGTATTACAAATTTTGGTAACACGTGTATATAAACATTTTAGATTTTTTTTTTTTAATAAAATATTAACGATTTATTAAAAAAAAAATTGACGCGTGTGATTTTTTGTGATAAATCCACCGAAAGATTTTAGACAGTAAGGTTAGTTGTTATATTTCTGTTAGAAAATAAACAGATTTGTTACATGTATTTCAAGTAATATATTTCGTATGTGGGACTCTGGGGACACTTTTTTATTCTTTATTCCTATGTATTCTCTGAGGTCCTATATGTACAAAATATGAGTCATTAAAACATCCACCATATTATATTCATAATATTCATTGTGTTTACAGTAGATAGTCACTCATCATAAAGACCTGCACAGATGACATACAATACTTGACATATGTTTTTGTCCGTCATGTTAAAATGCACACATTCGTGCATGTACGCGGCTTTAAAAAGAAAAAATATATTTTCTATGTATATGTAATTAAAAAAAAAAAAAAACATTCACTTTGACATCCCTCGTTTTTAAATCGGGTGATAAACAAATTTTATTTATTTTAGTAACGATAAACGTCAATTTTAAGGAGGCTAATTCTCAGCGTTGTCGAGTTGACCGCTTCAATCTCGAGAAGCATAGAAAATTGACGCTTCCGTTGTCGAGTCTTGTCGTTACGAATATGACGCCGTATGTTATTAAACATTAACCTATCACTTACAGAAACAACGTGTATATAAATGGAAATTAAAAAATTCTCTCTGCGTGAATTCGTATGCGAGACCAGAAGGCCTACCATGAAATGTTTTCCAACAGAGCCGAACTGAACACTACTTTTATGTTTAAATTACACAAAACAAATAGTTTAAAGTATGAAAATATTGTTCCTGTGAATTTTTATGGTAGGATTTATGACGAACGAAATGTTAAGTCCTATTTACTAGGGCACATTTGGTATGAACAAAAAAACTAAATACGAGTTCAAAAATCCAGTCTTGTCTTGTTCTTTCTCGTGCAATTGCTAATCAAAACGATTCTATCGATAGATTCGTTTGACACTTCTATAGAGGGGCATCTAAACAAATAGGTTATATCTATCTCCAACACCAAATACTATATATACTATATCTTTATACATAAATATATCTTTATACATTAATATCTGTCGCGCCTGTCTCCCATTAGGGTAAGCAGAAACAATGGAACGCCAAATGCTTCTATTCAAACAAACCCCTTTCGCTTCCTTTACATTCATCAATCTTTTCATACACGCTCGTAGGTTACGGGTACTTTTAATTTGGCCCTTCTTCAGCCTCCTACATCGCCTATTTGGTCTACATACTCCGTCCGTCTAGGGTGGCCTCTACCGACATTTCTATTCGTTCTTGCTCGATAAATCTCTTTCGTAATTCTTCTTTCATCCATTCTCTTCATCATCAAATGACTAATCCAACGCTACACCTATATATACGTATACACACCTATCTCCGCCAAATTTCATGTTAAAGCATTAAAAGGTAACAAACAAAAAAATAAATAAGCACACTGATTTTCGTATTTATAATATTAGGATAGACATAATTGAAATATTGTTTAACAATCGAATTCAAAAACATGGTCAGGTAACCAATTAGTAAAAAAAAAAAAAATTTAAAAACAATAATTAATTTCAATCTATTAAAAGTATTCCAAATTGCATTAGTAAGATGCATTGAAACATGCCACTAATACAGACAGACGGACGGATGAAGTGGAACCATAGATCGTAAGGATTCACTTCTATCTAATTTTAGTAGAAACGTAAAAACAATTACAACTATAAAAATCTAATTATTATAGGAAAGGAATTGATATAAGTGACAAAATAAGTAGAGAGAGGAAGAATAGAAGAAGACCAGAAATGTTTAGAGTATTCTCATTACTAGCTTATAGAAAAAAAAAAAATTGTCAACTGCGCACAGGAAGTGTTATCATTCCATTTTCATCTATTAAACATGTCTGTTTAAAAACGTTTTTAAAAACAAGCTTTTATGATATAATCAGCCATCTTGTGGTGGTAGCCATTTTGTAAATATTACAATATTAAGAAATACGTATTGTATTGTTACCAGAACTAAAGGTCTATGCAGAGTATCTGAATATAAATATATATATAAATTAAAAAAAAAAAAACTTGCTAAGCGCAAAACTCGAATACATCTACAATATATAGTACTTTTACTTTCTTTTTTTCTTTAATATGTCTTGAAGTCCTAAAAAGAGTCTTATGAAGAATAAAGTGGAAAAAATTTACAAGAAAAATATAAAACTAGCATTTTTCTATATGACATTTTCAATAGCATTTAAAAGAATAATGTCTGTGGATGTATGTCAGCAAGACATAATAAATAATATTGTAAAGAGGAAAGATTTGATTATTTGTTTGTTTGTTTGTAATAGATAAGCTCGATAAATATTCATTTATCAGCAAATTATATACGCTATATATATTATTTTAAAAAATCTATCTACCTGTATAAAGTCTGGGCGGATCACTAGTATTGTAATAAAATTGTAATCGCACAAAAACTACTGCACCAAATTGAATGCGGCATTCAAAATTGTAATCTTGAAGGTCCAATTTAAAATCTGTCGTTTTAAATTATAAATCTTGATATGCCATCTATAAATGATTACCTACATCCAAAATCCACGCGTACAAAGTTGCGGGCAAAAACTAGTATTCTACATCTACACTAATATTATATATAAGTGGGGGATAAGAGGAAAGATTTGTATTTTTGTGTGTATGTTTGTAATGAATAAACTCAAAAACTACTTTGCCGATTTCAAAAATTCTTTCACCATTAGAAAGCTACTTTCACCCTAAGTAATATAGGCTATATTTATTCCTAGAAAAGATTAGGGATCCTTACTAAAACTTTAATAACGTAACTCAAGGTGTAAAAATAAAGGCTATAAAATATCTTTTGTCGCGTGCCTTGCGGAAACTATTGGTGATAGAACAAAAGTATGTTCTACAATATTGAAGAAAACATCAATAACTACAGAAAACTTTGTGATACT